ACCCATGCCCATCCCCGCTGTACCTGTGTCCGTCCCTGTTCTACCTGTGCCCATCTCTGTTCTACCTGTGCCCGTCCCTGCTGTACCTGTGCCCATCCCCGCTGTACCTGTGCCCATCCCTGTTCTACCTGTGCCCGTCCCTGCTGTACCTGTGCCCATCCCCGCTGTACCTGTGCCCATCCCTGTTCTACCTGTGCCCATCTCTGTTCTACCTGTGCCCATCCCCGCTGTACCTGTGCCCATCTCTGTTCTACCTGTGCCCATCCCCGCTGTACCTGTGCCCGTCCCTGTTCTACCTATGCCCATCCCTGCTGTACCTGTGCCCGTCCCCGCTGCGGGCAGGCAGTGGGAGCTCGGCAGGAGCCGCCCTGAGCCTCCAGCTGGCCGTGCCCCAGCCCGGCGGGGCCGGCAGCCGCAGGCTGGCTCACCGTGGTGCTCTGTCCCAAGGAGAGTGGCCGCCTGGCCTCCCAGATCCGCCGGCTGTACGGGGCGAACCGCCGCGCTGCCCGGCCCTTCTGGCTGTGCCTGACGGAGTTTGCGGCCGGGACACCGATCTACGAGCAGTGCTTCCGCATGAACGATGGCTTCGCTGCCTACCTGGTGAGGGGCTGGCCGCGGGGATCCCAGCCCTGTGCTCTGCGGCCTGCCCAGAACCTGTCAGCCATCGCTGCTCTCCCTCTCGCAGAGCCCCCGAGAGCTTGTGGTGAGGGGAGAGTTTAGTGGAGTTTTTAGGTGTGTTATCAGTGCCGAGAACAGAAACATTGCCCAAGTGAAAAGAAAAGCCCCAGGTCACTGGAGATCTGCAGGGTCTACAAGGCCTTGAGCAGTCTGTGTGCCCGAAGCAGCAGTGTCAGTCCCGGGATTTCTCTGTGTCTGGGAGGGGGCTTTGCTCTGGCAGATGTACCTAAGGCTAACAGGCTGCTTCACTCTGCCTTGTGTTTTTGAGATGGATACAACTCCAGAGAGTTACCTGGACCTGTTTCCTTTGGAGGCCATTGTTTATCTCACTCCTGACTCTGAGAACGGTAAGTGTTTCACGTGCTTCAGGAAAGGGAGAGCCAGGGCAAAGGGCTGACTTTCAGAAACATCTCTCTGAGGACATTCCATGCTTCATGCAAGTTGTTCCTCACATGGGCTGTCTCACACTGCGTGAGACAGGCTGTGTGCTCAGAGCTGGTGCTAAATCTGTGCTGCTGGGACCTGTGTGTCCCAGGCTGCAGCCCCAGGGGTGAGGAGGCTTGGCCCAGTGCTGTCCTTGGGAGGGGGAGCGGGTCAGCTGGTGAGACCCCAGCAGTGTGAAAGTCCTTGTTCCCCTAGCCCGACAGCTGAAGGAGAGGTCTGAATGCATGAAGTCGAGTTTTCAAGGTTGTTTCTTCTTATCTAAACATTCTTTCTCTGACCTGCCGAGCTTTGCCTAGCAAGAAGGCCATGGCAGTCTGCCCTGAGCCCTGGGCGGCTGTCACCTTAACTACGTGTCTATGTTTACAATTTCTTCACCAATTCCCATCATCTGTGTTAGACTGTGAATATCTACCTTAAACCAATAGAAAAGTGCACCATCACACCAAGACATGGAGGAGAAGAAGGCCAGGGCATGCCCAAATTCCTCCATCTTGTACCCCCTTAAACCCCATTCTAAAAATCCCAAAATTCCACTTTGCCACCCCGTGCTAGTTCAAATATCACACTGCTCAAACCCTTGTGGCTTGTAATTCCTCATACAGAGTTGGCAGTTTTCTCCACGGGCTAAAATCAAAGCCCCAGGTGTTTTTGATTTCATGCCAGGGTCTCTGAGCCCCTGCCAAGGTCTGGAGCCAGCCAGGGCAGCCAGAGGGGTGTGCTGGGCTCCAGGAGAGCGCTGTCCTGCGGGGTTGGCTGCTGCGTGGTGTGACCCAGTGCATGTCCTCTTTCTAGTCCTGGAAGATATCGATCCGAGCAAGGTGTACGTGCTGGGAGGGCTGGTGGATGAGAGCATTCACAAGGTGCGTGGTGCTGCCCCGCAAGCAGACAGTCCCACTGCTGAGGCTGCCTCTGCCATCCCTTTCTCCTCGAACTCTGCCTGGGCCCCGTGGTGAGCCGGAGGGGCTGCACTGTGTGGGTGCCAGGAGCCCCGGGGCAGGTTTTGTCTCCTGTCCCTGCAGCAGCTGACCCTGCGGAGGGCACGGGAGCAGGGCCTCCAGACAGCCCGGCTCCCCATCCGTGAGTTCATGGTGAGAGCCCCCAACTGCAGGAACTACCACTCCGAGACGCTGGCCATCAACCAGGGTGAGGTCCCGTGGGGCTCTGGTGTGGTCCAAGGCCAGCTGGGGTCCCCTGCTCCCCGGGGAGCTGTGCACGAGGCAGGGGACATGGCTGGAGGAGTGCTGGGGGCTGCTGTGGGGACAGCCCACAGCGGGGTGGGACTCCATCTCATCCAAGATGACAATGGCATCTTGGCCATCAATGGCCACCCCAGCCAGGTCTGAGAATGGCAGCGAGGGTGTTGGTGTCCCGTACCCCACGGGCTGGCACTCCTGGTCACAGCAGAGGAGGTGCTGGTGCCCCTTCACCTGCCAGGTGAACGCCTTTGTTTGTGACTGCAGAGGGGCTTATAACCAGGCCAGCTCCTCCAAGTTTTAACCCGTGGCGTTAGGATTGTGTTGCCCCTCCATGGGCACAAGGCAGAGGGAGTGGCTGGGGACTCTGTGTGCCCGGGGGCTGGGGTCTGCCTGCCTGGGAGTGACAGTGGGGCCACAGCAGGTGTGGCTTACTACAGGGGGGACACTGGTGGGTGGCACACGTCAGCCAATGCAGTGACGGGGGCACCTCGCTTTAGTTGACAACCACTGCTTTGCCCAGGGCTCCCTAAAGGCCTCCAAAATACCTGTCTGCCCCAGGTGAGCTGCCTCAAGCAGCAGCTCACCAGGTGTTAGGTGGGGACGTTCTCTGGGTCAGGTGTCACCACCTCCCTCGTGTTTGTGGGCATGGGCAGCTGCTGGCAGCGTTGTCACGACACGTGTGTGACTCCATACCCCTGTGCTCTGACAGTCTTTGATGTCCTGGTCACCTACTATGAGACGCGGAGCTGGCCAGCAGCGCTGAGGGCTGGAGTTTCTTCTGGAAAAGGCTACGTGCTCCCGGACCCAGCGGAACAGGCAGAGACAGCCCAGCGCACCACTGCTGCCCAAGGAAATGCTTTATTGTGTGCTGAGGAGCTGCAGGAAGCACCAGCGTGACTGTGCATGGGAGACAGCCGTTCCCAGCAGCGCGAGGAGCTCGTTGGAGCAACGCCTTCTACCTCAGGAATGCGGTGCTGGACATTGCTGTGCCCCTGAGCGGGACAGAAAAGCCTGGTGGAGCCTGGGATCCAGTGAAAACTGACAGGAATTCAGTTTTGCCTCTGCAGCTGTTTGTTTGTGACTCCAACTACACTTGTTCTGAGGTGGGGAGGAAAGCTTTAAGGTGTTTTCTTCGTTTTATGGAAACAGAGAGTAGGGTGAAGTTGGGATTGCAAAGCTTATGGGCAAGGGAAACACCCTGCCACGGGCCAGGACAGTGCTGCTCCTGCAAGAGAGCACGGGACGGGAGCAGCTCCCCAGGGCATGTCCCAGCAGCACAAACCCACTGAATACTGGGTGAGTTGCCGAAGCCTTTGGCTAGTTGTATGCATCTAATATAAAATAAAAGGTTTAGATCCCCATTGTGTCCCTGCAGTTACTGAGGAGAGGTACCTGGTCACACCTGACACGCACAGGTGCCTGACCCCCACGTCCCTGCTGGGAGGTACCTGGGCTGGGCTGTGCCCGCACAGAGCGGTGCCACAGCCACAGCAGGACGGGTGTTGGGTGCAGCTGAGCCCATCCCTTACCTCAGCCACTGCTGCCAAAAGAGCCCTGAAACCTCATAGCCAGTGGCAGCAGGACCTGAAGGTCATCTGAGGTAAGTCTGGTTATGTGTTTTCATTCCTCTCTCACAGAACCCTTTCACAGCCCTGGGGCTGTCCGGGTGGTGTGACAGGGGTGTGCAGGAGCAGGTGGGGGTTTAACCCAGCTGTTCTGGTTTAACCCAAACCAGGGGTTAACCTGAGGTTAAGCCACGACAGGAGTTGGCCAGTGCCTGCTACTGTGCCCCGGGGCTCTTGGCAAGCTGGATGCACAGATTATCCCCTTCAGTGAGTGTCCCAGAGCCAGGGCACAGCCCTGTCCCCACGGTGCCTGGGGAGAGGTGCTGCCATCACTGGAGCCCACCCATGCCCTGGAGCCCACCCATGCTCTGGCTGTCCCAGCAGACCCCCACAGCTCCCCAAGTCCCCGGGCTGGAGCTCAGCAGCACAGGACGGGCTCTGCCCTCGCTGCACAGGTGCTGCACTGCTGCCCCGTGGGGAGGCACGGCCAGACTGCTGCAGATCACACCTGGCCAAGGTGAGCAGCACCTGCCGGGAGGGGCACGGGGCTGCTCTGGCCGGGGAGCCCCTGCACAGCTCTGGCCGCAGCGTCACGGTGTCGGCTCGCCCTTCCTCAGCAGGCACGGCCAGGTGGGCAGGAGCTGGCAGGTGCCTCGCAGGAGGTGGCAGGTATGTCTCGCTCTCACCCGGGGCAGCAGCAGCAGTGCATACCAGCACGGCTGGCACGACCTGCTCCGGCTAAGGAAAACCAGCTGAATGTGGAATCACTGTGTTCCCTCGGCCAGAGGGTGGAGAAAGCCACCTGGGGTCCTTCACATTCTGCCAGGGGGGGTTGAATGCCTTTAGTCCAGAGCCTGCCTGGAGAGCAGGGCGGGTGACAGGCAGGCTGAAGGCTCACGCTCTTCCCCGTGGATGGCAAAGGCAGCCGAGGGAACACCGTGGGACTGTCACCTGCACGGCCCGTGGGAGGCAGGGCACGAGCCCTGAAGGACACACACCAGGGTGCTGCAGCAGCACCTGGGGCATGGCTGCCAGCACTGCACGTCCTGCCTGGCCATCCTGGCTAAACATGCCCGGGGAGAGCCTGAGGGGACAGAGGGCACACATCTGTGTCCCCTCAGTGCCCTGGCGTGCCCCCACGCCGCCCGTCACAGCCACGGGGACGCCCTGAGCGCTGCAGCAGACAGGATGGCAGCTGCCAGGGCTGCAGCTGGCGGGCCAGGAGCTCGGTGCCCAGCTCAGGGCAGAGCTGCCCGTGGAGCTGCTGGCGCAGAGCCTGCACCAGCTGCTGGCAGGTGCCCACCACGTCCCCCAGCGCAGCCCCCGGCTCCTGCTGCCGCTGCCCGCAGCGCCGGCAGTGTGTCAGCTGGAAGCAGCTCACCGCCAGCTGCACCGGGCGGTCGAACGCGGCTCTCAGAGCTCCCTGCAGCTCGGCCAGAGGCTGCTCCGCGCTCAGGAGTGCCTGGCAGCTGGACAGCAGGTCCTGGGAAGCCCAGCCCGGGGCACCCTCGCTCTGCACACCCTGCTCTGCGCGCTGAGGAGCACAGAGCTTCCCCACAACCGCCTGGAGCTCCACGGTGCGGGCCAGGAAGCGGGAGGAGCCGGCAGGGCTCAGCCAGGCCCGGCGCGGCAGCTGCCCGAGCGCCCGGAGCGGAGCGTCCTGCGGGGCCCCGGGGCGGGCCGGGGCGGCCGGCCGGAGGGGCCGTGAGCGGCCCCGGGAGCCCGGGCGGGCTGGCCTCGCGCTCCCCGGGGCTGCGGGGCCGCGGGAAGCAGCTGATGTAGGGCAGGCGGCAGCCGCAGCTCCGCAGCCCCGCTGGGGCTGGCGAGGCCCCGGCGGGGACGGGGGGCGCAGGGCTCGGCTCGCCCTCCCCGGGCTGGGAGCAGAGCAGCGAGTGCCCCGCAGCCCCGCGGCCCCCGGCTCCTTCCCGCAGCCCCGCAGCCCCGCGGCCCCCGGCTCCTTCCCGCAGCCCCGCAGCCCCGCAGCCTCCCGCTCCTTCCCGCAGGGGCACAGGCACCGCGGGGATGGAGAGCCCGGCAGACGGGGCCGGGCAGCGCTCCTTCCCCCGCCCTGCCGCCTGCTCTCCGGGAAGAGAAGCCAGGGCAGGCTGCAGCTGCTGCTCAGCCGCGTTCCCTGCGCCTCCCGGCTGCCCCGCGCCCTGCCCTGAGCTGCCCGCCAGCTCCTTGCCAGAGCCCGCTCCAGCAGGGCAGGTTGGCATCGTCCTGCCGCCAGCACCAGCCCCCCTGCACCCGCTGGCCATCAGACAGGCCAAGGGCTCCGGTGGGACATCCACCCTGTCCTGCAGGCAGTGTGACACTGGGCTGGGTGACACACAGCTGGGTGACACTGGGCTGGGTGAAACAGGGCTGGGTGACACAGGGCTGGGTGACACACAGCTGGGTGACACTGGGCCAGGTGACACAGGGCTGGGTGACACAGGGCTGGGTGACACAGGGCTGGGTGACACAGGGCTGGGTGACACAGGGCTGGGTGACACAGGTCTGGGTGACACAGGGCTGGGTGACACTGGGCCAGGTGACACTGGGCCGGGTGACACAGGGCTGGGTGACACTGGGCTGTGTGACACTGGGCTGGGTGAAACAGGGCTGGGTGACACTGGGCGGGGTGACACTGGGCCAGGTGACACTGGGCCGGGTGACACTGGACTGCGTGACACAGAGCTGGGTGACACACAGCTGTGTGACACAGGGCTGGGTGACACAGGGCCATGTGACTCTGGGCCGTGTGACACTGGGCTGGGTGAAACAGGGCTGGGTGACACAGGGCTGGGTGACACAGGGGCTGCCCTCACCCCTAATGAGAGCCAGGAGAGGCGGGTGAGGACCCCCGAGGCACTGCTGCAGTCTGCCAGGAGCTGGGCTGTGTCTGGGAACCCCGCGTGCCCTTGGTGCACCTTCCGCAGGGCCTCCCCACTCACCCCCTGTCGGCTCCTGGCCCGGGACACGGCTCCCTTGCAGCTGCTGCTGGCACGGCACTGACCATTGGGAGGGCACTGACCATCGGGAGGGCACTGACCATCAGCAGGGCACTGACCAACAGCAGGGCACTGACCATCAGCAGGGCACTGACCATTGGGAGGGCACTGACCATCGGGAGGGCACTGACCAACAGCAGGGCACTGACCAACAGCAGGGCACTGACCATTGGGAGGGCACTGACCATTGGGAGGGCACTGACCATCAGCACAGCCCTGACCATCAGCATGGCACTGACCATTGGGAGGGCACTGACCATCGGGAGGGCACTGACCATCAGGAGGGCACTGACCATCGGGAGGGCACTGACCATCGGCAGGGCACTGACCATCGGCAGGGCACTGAACAACAGCAGGGCACTGACCATCAGCAGGGGACTGACCAGGGGCACAGCCCTGACCATCAGCAGGGCACTGACCAACAGCAGGGCACTGACCACTGGGAGGGCACTGACCATCGGGAGGGCACTGACCATCAGCAGGGCACTGACCATTGGGAGGGCACTGACCATCGGGAGGGCACTGACCATCAGGAGGGCACTGACCATTGGGAGGGCACTGACCATCGGGAGGGAACTGACCATCGGGAGGGCACTGACCATCGGGAGGGCACTGACCAACAGCAGGGCACTGACCATCAGCAGGGTACTGACCAGGGGCACAGCCCTGACCATCAGCAGGGCACTGACCAACAGCAGGGCACTGACCACTGGGAGGGCACTGACCATCGGGAGGGCACTGACCAACAGCAGGGCACTGACCATCAGCAGGGCACTGACCATCGGCAGTGTACTGACCATCAGCAGGGCACTGACCAGGGGCACAGCCCTGACCATTGGGAGGGCACTGACCATCAGCGTGCCCCTGAGCATCAGCTTTGCTGTCCTGACAGGGAGCCAGGGAAGGCTCCACGTTGTCACGGAGCAGCCCCCGGTCCTGGGCCAGCTCCCGGGGAGGGGCTGTGCTGGGGCCAGGGGCCGGTGGCAGCAGAAGGAGCTCCTCAGAGGGGCAGGCAACAGCAGAGGACACAACACCGGCCACCACCTCAGCCCCGTCCTCCTGTGGCCCCTGGGTGTGCCAGCCTGCAGCGGGCACTCGGCTCTCCTCGCTCAGACACCCCGGAACTGTGTGCCCTGGGGAGCCTTCCTGGGCAGCTCTGCTCGGAGCTCGGGGAAGGGGCTCTAGGGACAGCAAAGGGGGCTGCTGCGGCTGGGGGCTGCTGTCCTCCTCCCCACACTGCTCAGCAGGATGGTGAAGGTTCCAAACGGAGGAAGCCAGCCATTCCATCACCGACTTTGCCTCCGTGGTGTCAGGCTGCGTGTCCAGCAGGTCAGGGCTGAGCTCCGTGCCTGCAGGAATCCCCATCTCCGTGTCCTTCCCTGTGTCCTCTGTCGAGGGCTGAGTGGGCGGCCAGGAGCAGCAGCGCTGTGTGGAGCCTGGGAGAGCTGCAGGGAAACTGACCTGTGAGGTGTAAACAGTTTTCAGGAAAGACCTTCTCTTCCTCAGGCTCCTGGTGTAGGTCAGCTCCTTCTCCTGCCCCTGCCTCTCCCTCGTCGGTGGCTTCTCCCCCAGGCTGTAGCACCTCAGCCTCTTTGGGATGCAGGAGTTCTCTGTGCCCTCCCAGCATGCTGTATCATAGCCTGATGGCAAGAAAACATGGAAATCAGGAAGTAATCCTGGGCAGCAGAATACCCTCATGCCTACACAGTGGGCCAAAAAGCTCCTGGCACAGGACTTGGAATCACAGGCATGAAAGTGCAGCAGCAATGCCTCATTCTCAGGGCAAGAGGAAATGGTCTCTCATGATCAAGAATCTATGTGGAGCTGGATGTGAAGAGAAAGGCAGAGCCTGGCTACAGGGACTGAAGGCCAGGGCTGGTGATGAGCAGGCAGCGTCACCTGAAGGCAGGTGTGGCTGTAATTCCCCAGTTAAATCTGGGGACAGCAGCAGCACTACAAGAGCACTGCCCACAGCTGTAGGCATATCACCACACAGAAACGGCCAGAGGTTCCCAGCTGGAAATTTAGATGGTAACAATTTCCACAGTAACAGTTTTTTGCCTGAACACAGTACAGTGACTGCGCATTACTATGGAAGCCAAAAGTTTTCTAGTGGCATGAATTAAATTCTTAGGAGGCCCTGTTAATACTGAAGGAGCTGATTACTCCAGGAACAAGAATACTCCAATTTCCGAGAAAATACAATAGTCAGGGAGCTGCCCAGCCCTGGGAATCCTTGATGCAGCTCTGAAACCAGCCTCTGACCTGAGCATGACCTTTGTCCTTGGGGGCTCATGTAACAGTGTTTTACAGGTTTGGGCTCTCTTTCCTTAGCTGAGAGCATGAGAGCAGAGATCCCAGAATGCCACCCCGCTGAAAACTGAGTTTTCTCAGCACTTGCACGTGGTAACAAATCCGTGCACTGTCACTGCTAGGGTGCTGAGGAGCGGCCTGCGGCGAACGGCGAGTCAAAGGTCCTCAAAAGCCCTGGGGAAGCTCCTAAGCGCTGTGCGGGGAGCGCGCAGGAGCCCCGGCGGCAGCAGCGCAGCACCCCAGCCCGGCACCCGCGGCTGTACCTGCCAGCGCCTCCGGAGGGCTGAGCCGGTCCGCGGCATCGTAGAACTCCTCCTCGGAGCTGGAGTCGCCGAAGCCCGGCGGCGGCCGCAGGACGAGCTCGCTGTCCCCGGAGCCGCGGCCCGCGGGCGACGAGCCGTGGCTCGGGCTGGGGCAGCCCGGCTCGGGGAGCCCCGCGGGGCCGGCCCCGTTGGAGCCGCTCCCGGCGGGGCCGCACCCGTCGGGGCCGCTCCCGTCGGAGCCGCTCCCGTCGGAGCCGCTCCCGGCGGGGCCGCTCCCGTCGGAGCCGCTCCCGTCGGAGCCGCTCCCGTCGGGGCCGCTCGTCCCCGGCACGGCCGCGCGGGGCTGGAGCCGCTCCGGCCCTTCCAGCCGCGCTCCCTCCAGCGCAGCCACCGAGTCGCTGGAGCCGCTGCTCTGGAAGCCGCGGCTGCCGCTGGTGGCCGAGTCGGACGCCTCGGACGCGCTGTCGGTGGCGGGGTCGCCGCCGCCAGCCCGCGGCTCGCCCGGCCCCGCCGCGCCGCCGCTCGCCGCGGGGCTCCCCGAGCCGGAGTCCGGGCCCCAGGAGTCCTCGGAGTCGCTGCAGGCTCGGGATTCGTACCCTGCGTTGGAACGAAGCTGTCAGCCCGTGCTGCGGGTGGCGCGGGGCTCAGCCCGACCCTGCCCCGCTGGCCCCGGGGCTCAGCCCTCGCCAGCCCGCAGCCAGCACGGGAAGGGGCAGATGGAGCCGCAGCAGCACCCGGAGCTGCCGGGCAGCTGCCAGCTGGCCCCGAGCCTCGGCCCCACAGGCCCGCAGAAGCCACAGAATCGTGCCGCCACGAGTGTTTGTTGGAAAAACCCTCAAAGACCAAGTCCAGCCTTAACAAGACGCAGCTGCCGCCACACAGCCCTGGGCTGCTGCTCCCCTGAGCTGGGTCATCCACCCACTTCCTTCCCATCCTCTGTCAAAAAAGGCTGTTTTTTAAACCTTCTTCAGCTGAGACACGGTGCAGTTGCTGGTTTTTCTCTCCCCAGGTAAATATGGAGGCGTTTGCGTCCACAAAGAGTCTGTAGTAGCCAGCAATGAGGCAGACGAGGTCCTTTGCACTGTTTGACTCCAGCAGCAGAGTAAGCACCTATTTTTTTTTGGTTTGTTTTATTTTTCAGAGGTGTGGGGGAGAAAAGAGTAAAAAAGATTAGAATAAACAAATCTTGTTTGTACTGTAGTCAGCAGGAACAGGCTGCATGAGGACAGGCACCCCTTCTCTCTCATACTTCCCTCAGTCTGATTTGCAGGAGGCACAAAGAAGAGTAATTTCTTTTTCTCACCCCTTGTGCCTTTGTTGCATCTCACTGATAGAGGAAGAATCCCTTTTCCCCAGCAGGAAGAATCACTTCTCTCTAGCAATTTGTTTGCTCCTTCCCATGAGCTTTCCCTCCCGTCTGTTCTAAGCCTTCTACCCTGGTGACACCGCCAGCCTCTGAGAAGAGCTGACGGTGCAGGTGACTGCCCTGTCCCACACAGGTGCTCACCTTCAGGTCCTGCAGGTAGATCTTGACTGTGCTCACTCGCTCGGACTCCTCGCTGAGCTCCACCCTGCTGATGCTGGGGAACTCGGCCAGGCTGGTGACGATGTTCAGCTTGCTGTTGATGATCTGGCTGACGCCGTGCCTGGCGCCCACCAGCAGCGCCACGTACGACTCCCTGTCCTGCAGCTGTAGGGGCACAGGCTGAACCTCTGATGCAGCCTGGGCAGGGCCCCTCGGCCCCCCGAGCTCCTGGGGCACCCCAGCACTGCCTCTCCTGCTGCTGGGCTGCCACAGCAGCCCGCTCCCTGCTCTCTCCCCCCACACAGGGACCAGCAGCCTCCCACGGGCCCGGGTGGCCCCAGGGATGCTGCAGCACCTGGCAGACCCAGGGGTGTGGCTGGCAGCAGGTGGTCACTGTCAGCAGTGTCACCTGGCAGCCCAGGCTGTCCCCACATGGACCCAGTGGGACCTGCTGCAGGGTAGGAACTTCACAGAGATGTTTCTGGGCTTGGAAAATACATCAGCGCTTTTTGTTAGGGTGAGACACTTAAGGAAAAGTGAATGAACGGACATATAATCTGGCAGATATTGTTCAATTGGTATGTAGGTGTAAACTTCAGCATTACTGTGACCATGGGTGAGGTCTTGCTCTGGTACAGGCCCAGCAGCATTGCTGTGCTCCCTGTGGGACACAGCTCAGCACAGACCCAGCTGGGGACAGGCAGAAAAATCACCAACCCAAGAAACCTCTTGTAAAAAGGGCGGAGGTCTTTTCTACAGTGAGGTTTAAGGGTTTCCAGTATCTTTTTCAAGAGTTTGAAGCCTGCCCAGATTTCTCAAGTGCTTTATACCACACAAATGATAGGCAGGGTTTATCTGAAAAGCAAGAGCCCAGCTAGAAAACACACATATAGCTGTTCTGTGGGCTGGTCTGTGCTGTGGAGATTTCAGTGGAATTATGCTGGGTTTCTCCAGCACAGCCCCTTACCAACATCTACCAGGACATCCCAGGACAGGGAGAAGCAGTGTGGCCAACAGGAGTGTGTGCCCAAAGCCATTCCATAACAAACAGCTCATACCATCATGGTGGCATTGAAGATCTTCCCACTGTACATCTTCAGCTCCCCCAGGATCTGCAGGTAGCTCAGGCGCACCTGGACTGCTGTGAGCGCGTGCTTCGTTGGCGAGAGAGGAAACACGGTTTGGAAAAGGGCTGCAGGCAGCTGCAGCACGGAGACAGCCTGTGCTGCAGGGCTGCAGCGTGGCCAGCACATCCAGCTCAGCGTGGCCAGGCAGCCCAAGTGGCCCTGGGCCAGCCACGGCCGCTGAGCGTGCAGCATTGGCAGCAGCATGCAGGAGATGAGGGAGCGTGGGCACAGCGTGGGCAGAGAGAGCCCCAGGGACACGCAGGGACAAGGACACCCTGACTGGGGCTACCTTCTGCCGAGGGTCCAGCAGCACCTGGTTCCGCTTCAGGTGGTAGCTGATGGCTTTCTTGATGTCCTTCCCTCTCATGTTCCGAAGCAAGGTGGGCGAGATGAAGTTTTCGATTCCCCAGTCCCTCCTGGCAGAGAGAGGGAAGGGAGCACAGGGGGCCCCAGCCCTGCTGACCCCAGCAGCGCAGCATAGGCAGGGCAGAGGAGGGCAGAGCCCTGCAGGGCTGTGACCCACCCATGGCCTCACTGGCTCAAACCCACTGCTACCTGCACCTGCCACCGGGTCGGGAGCGGGGCTGGGCAGTGTGCACTTTGGTGCAGAATGGCCATTTTCACGTGGCTTCACAGGAGGGAATTCACAGCCTTCATCAGCAGGACAGTCCCCAGCTCCCCTCACCATCCACAGGATGGAGATCCTGTCCTTGCATGCACCTTGCTTTGGTGACAACATTATGACACTTCAGCATGATCAGTTTCCTGGACTCAAAGCGTGGGCCAGGTGTGCTGCTGGAGGGCTTACTCAGCCCAAGCATTACACACCTGTGAGGTAAGAGCACTGCAGCTGCCTCACCCTCACTCCCTGCACACAGCTGGGCACATCTGGCTGCACAGGAGGCAGTCAGTGCCCGGTAATTAACCTGGTCACCACCCCAGTGCCTGGTAATTAACCACGAGCTCATCACCACTGCCTAGAGCAGGGGCTTCTCTGGGCAGGTGCAGTCCCAGAGCAGCAGCGTGCAGCAGGGCACACCTGCTCCTCCTGAAAGCATTTTCTGGTCATTTCCCCACAGATCCCGGTACTTCACAGGATCTACCACTGCCCAAAGCAGGTATTCTGGCATGTCTCTGGTGGGTGCAGAGTTGATGATTACACCCTCTCTCCAACCAACCAACACTGCCGGGAGCAGCTTGGGTAAGCACCACTGTGTGGAAAGAGCTGCAGTTTCACATCCCTGGCTCTGTGAGAGATCCTCCTGTGCCTCGGGACACAGCCAGGAGCTCACTCTGTGTCTCAGGCAGGTCAGTGGGCTGAGCACAGGGCAGCCCACGAGGCCACCCTGCCCTAAAGGAGCAGCAAGCCGAGGGGCTGCAGTCCCCTCTGACCTCCTGTGCAGGGCACACACGGGGCAGGCAGCGAGCTGATGCCTCTTTTGGGGCTCTCCTGCTTTCCACAGTGGAGCACAGAAATCTGTGCCTTACTCGATGTATTTCAGGGACACCTTCTGCGGCTGGGCACATGCGTAGATCCTCTCCTGGATGTGCAGGGCAGCCAGGCGTAACGCCACGCTGCACTTCATCTCCACAGCAAACCTTTCCTGGAGCACGTCGCTGCAGCTCTGGGGCAAACACAGCACAGTTAGGCCAGCAGGAGCACAGCACAGAACTGCCAACACGACACCACGCAGCCAGTTAGGGATATCAGCAGCCAAGCATAGGAGTTGATGTAAGAATTTAAGGCAAATCAAATGAAAATGCCCTGAGTTTAAGTGCTCTGCATTTCCACACAGCTGAGCCAGTCTGAGGCACGCTCTGGTTTAAAGCAAAAATGAGAATGGGGTGAGAAGGGACTCCCAAGGAATGCCCCAGTGTCACCTGCAGGTACAGATATTCAAAGGCCACTGGGTCCTCCTGCAGGAGGTCCAGGGGGTCCCTGGGGACAAAGCAGACTCTGAAGAGGCAGCGGTAGTCATGAGAGTCTCTCTTCTGGACCACCTGCAACAGAGAGAGGGCATCACACCACAAGCCCTCCCTCCAGGAGTGCGTGCTGAGCCTTTGCTCTGCAAACCACAGGAATTGTTTACTGCCCCTGGCACGGGGATGGTGCAGATTGACCTCAACAAACACAAGGATTCTTTGCCAGTGCTTGCAATTTTATCTCTGAGTCTTCATCTGCTTTTTTCTTCTCCCTGCAGTAGCCCAGAAGCCCTTTGATAGCAACACTTTATGTAGATACCCACTGATCCCAAACACTTGCAGTGTGACCAGGGCAGAGGTCTGGGCTGTGTGATAACAGCAGGGGAAGGGGCAGGCTGCTCTGCTTTGGAGTGCAGTCACAAGACACAGCAGCCCTAAACAGACCCCCGAATCATCACTGTAATGTCAATACAATGTCAAGACTGAGTTATCCATCAGCATATTTTATTCTGGGCAAATCCTGCCCAGCGGAAATCCTCTGACCCACGTGCTCAGTGCTGTGACAGCTCCAGCACTGAGGGACTTGAAGTGATGATCCTTGTGTGTGCCCTCCCATTTGGGGTATTCTGTGACTCCGTGGACCCCTCTGCAGTGGGCTGCCAGCCAACAAACCCACCAGCACAGAGCTCCTGCCGACAGACCTGCCTGGCTGCAGGGGCAGCAGGATCCCACGGCTGGCCTGGTGCACCGGGACACAAGGCACTGACTCAGAATTCAGCCCAAGCAGCCCCTGCCCTTGGGGCATTCACCCTGAGTGCTCTGGCTGAGGGTGGCACAGACGATGTCACCCATTGCACACTGGCCCACGGGTACCGCTGTGTGTGGGACTCGGGATGCTCCCAAAGTGCCCTTCCCCAGGGAAGGGGGGTGTGAAGTGGATGGCACCACTGGGGCCGAGCCCAGCTCAGCCCTGTGCTGAGCCCTGCAGCTCTGGGCTCCCCTGCCCTCTCTGGCCTCTCTCCTGGGCCGTGGGGCTCTGCTCACCTGCGCAATCAGCTCCTCCTCGTGCAGCAGGTGGACCTTGGCCAGGTTGTACTGCTCCTCCAGCACCAGCGCGAAGTGGGCGATGCTGCGGATGGACAGCTTCTCCTGCAGCGTCAGCACGATGTCCTGGCAGGGCACAGGGGTCACACAGAGCTCAGCTGTGACACCAGCACTGCTGCAGGGGTGGCACCGCACGGCCCCAGCCTGCAGAACTGCAGGGGCACGGACAGACAGAGCAGAACGACCCCAGCAGGAGGAGGACAAGGTGGGTGAGCTGAAAACCCCAAGGTGTCACAGGTATCAAAGCCATCTCCTGGAGCTGCCTCACACTCAGAGTTGTACAGTTTTCAGCTGGGAGGCGCTGAGCACTTTCTGTCACCCCCGACCCAAGTGTTTGTTCTGTTTGTTATTCCAGCTCTCTAGAACTCTACAACATTTTGGATCCCTGGAAGTGTCCGAGGCCAGGCTGGACAGGACTTGAAGCAAGTGAGAGGTTGGAGGTTGGAACTGGATGGTCTCTAAGGTCCTTTCCAACCCAAATCAGTCTGTGAGTCTATGATTTGTGGAAAAACTAAAAAGAACTTGTCAAGAACACTTCTCTCCAATAAACAAGAATTTGAGACCATAATTGTAAAAATCTTACCACATCTGACTGAAATTGGTGTTTCACTTTGTAATAGAGAATTCTGTCAATATTCTGTCATTGAAGTAAAAATGTTTACTTTTGGCAAAAAGTAAATATCACTTCAGGCTTGGCTGAGCACAAATTGAAACAGAAGCCCTTGGGCTCACTCAAGCCTTTTGAGGCAAGCATAAATGTTTGACTCACCTCAGTTTTAAGCCAGGATGTCTCAAGACACAGAGGAATTTCTGAAAACACCTAACTTGGGAAGCATTTTACTCATTTAGATGTTTCTGGAGGGCAATTGTGAGGGCTGCTCTCAGAAACTGGGAAAAGTTGTTCCCTTTCAGAGCTGAGCAAATCAAACAAAAGACAAAGAGCTAATCCATCCTTTAGAAATTAAACCCTTGGGGACAGACATTCAAATATCTCTTTACAAGTCTCCTTTCCTTTCCACCTCCTTGCTTTCTTTTACTATTTTATTTTTCTAGATTCTGCAAGTCAAAAGACTTGCAGACACTTACTTGCCTGAGAGACCACAATGGTTTTGTGAAGCTTGAATGAGCTAGACAGAGTCCTCCTTTTTTGAGGGAAGTTTTCACTGCATGATAAATTCAGTCTCTTTGTGTTTCCCTTTAATATTCTTTCAGCCTGGTAGCCCCAGAATGTCTGTCCATTGTGAATTTCTCCCACAGCACCTGCACTGCTGCAGGACACCAGCTGTCCTTAAAGTGATTTGTGACCTCCAGCCACTGGCCGTGGCCAAATCTTAGCGTCCAACATAAACACTGAGCAGCTACAGCGATCAGGCCAGACAAACTGGAGGTGTGTAAGGCCGTGTGCAAGCACAGCAGGCATGGGGAGGGCTGATCCATGGCTCTGCAGAGCAGCACCGTGTTTTCAGGGGGGTCTGAGGGAGGATCGCCCTTTGTTCAGGAGGATCATTCCCTCGTGTGCTGCCCTTTCACCCGAGGGGTGGAATCAGTGCTCATGTCTCCAGAGGGGAACACCCTTACCCCTGCAGAAATGAGGCTGGAGCTCAGAAATCCCAGCAGAGCCAGCAGAGCTGGTCAGTGCAGCCAGGGGGCTGCAAGGGCCCTGCCTGCCCCTTTGCTGATGGTTGGGCTGGGGTGGCGGGAACAGCCTGCCCAGCTTCCTTACCTTCACGGTGGTGCTCCTCTCAAACCTGAAAGCTTTGGTCTGTCCGTTCTCCAGGTACACCTTGAGGACATTGGGCATGAACAGGAGGGAGCTCCCCTGCAGAACAGAAGCAGCAGCTGGACCCTGGGGCACCCAGCCTGCGGGCACCAGCTGCTCTGCCTGGCACTGCACGGCCTGGCATCCCAGAAAATCCTCCTCTCCACCTCAGCAACCCTCTTCCACGGCAGCAAGGTTTACTCCTGATTGTGCTTCTGGCACAGAGCAGCACAAGGAGAGCACAACAAGTGCCTTACCGTAACACTCGGGGCAGTGCAGCAGCTGCAGCCTGGCAGCCCCCAGCACAGCAGCATCTGGAAGCTTTGAAAGCAGAAATCATCCTCCCTGCTCATCCCCAACACCCAGCAGTGCCTCCAGAAAAGGCCCTTCCCTCACTGAGCAGCACGCATCCCCACGCTGACACCAGCCCCCTGGTGCTGCCAGTGCCACAGAGCCTGGCAAACACACCCTGCTGCTTCCTGAGAGCCTTGCCCTTGGATCTGCAACCCTGGCACCTCCCAGGCAGGAGGAGATGCCACCACGGTGTCCTGAGATAGGTCCCAAACTCGTGGCACAAGACAGGGACACCCTCAGCGAGAACATCTCTGTTGGGGGCTTGCAGAAGCATCTGGGCACTTGGCCTCTGCCCTCCTGGGCAGCCTGAGCCCCTTTCAGCCCTCCTCCTCACCCCTCCAGAGGGAATGCCTGCACCTTCCTTCCCAGTTTCACCATCACTCCCCCGGTTGCTCAGGGCTGAACAGGGTCACTCTGCACTTTCAAGCTCCTCTCAGCATGTCCTTGTCATATTCTTGGACCAGCACGCTGCTCCCACCACTGAAAGGGTTCATCCACTTGTCAAGAGAGTCCCAGGGCTAAGAATGGTGTTTCTGAGATGGTCTCTCCTGTGCTTCATTCACTGTACCTCACGTTACAAACCTCACAGCCCTCTAGACAGAGCCCACACCCCCTGGAAGTGCTGCCAGAGCAAACACAAACCACCTCTGACTCCTGCCTTGCTCCTCTCAGACCCGTTCCTGGGGCTCAAGCTGCTGCAGCCGCCACTGAGGAAAACAAGGGAACGCTGCTGCTCTTTTTTCTAGCCCAACTTTGGGGCTCTTTAACTAACCAAACACATCACGCCTCTGGTGAGACGAGTCTCCACCAGCTCCAGGACAGTGACGCCGTTTCCATCTCCCCTCAGTGACCTTGTGGGGGGGCCCTGCGCAGCCAGCACACAGCGGGATTTAACACCTGCACAGATTATCACCACTCTCCGGGTCAGACCCAGTCACCCGGGCGGAGCAGGGATTCCTCTCCTGCCGTGAAACCTGTCAGAAGCTGCCACGAGCTAACGCTGGAAGCTTCAGCAGCCGCTTTCAGACTAAACCTCCCCGAACGAGCCTTCCTCCATATCTCAACGCCTTCTTCAAAGCAATACTATTCCTCTGTTCTGGCTCCATCATCCACAGCCTCAACAGCGAACAAGACATCCGAAAAATAGGATTACAAAAAATACTACCAAAACCACCTCCTGCCTCACTATTGGAAACCTCGCCCTAACAGGAACTCCTTTCCTAGCAGGATTCTATTCAAAAGACCAAATCACTGAAAGCTTAAACACATCCTACCTAAACACCTGAGCGCTCGTCCTAACCCTGCTAGCCACATCCTCACCCTTCCCGTGCTGCCGGGGCAGGGCTAAAAACACTGCCCGCGTCCCCGGGGGCCTGTCCCCGGCGGATCGCTCAGGATGTAGGAATACATCATCGCTCTGCAGCAAGCGGAGGCAGGACAGCAGCGGGGCTCATTAACAATTCATGCTCGCAGCCGGCAGGGTCGGGTTTCACTGCAGAACGCAGCGCTGGGATCCTTCCCGTCGCCACAAGGATCACTTAGCCGTGCTCCATTAGGATGACAAGAGCAGTATATTTACTGAAACTGGAGGCTCTACAGTTTTCAGGGCCATAATACCCATTTTGGCTGCCTTCGTGCGTCAGCCGACGGAAAGGAGAGCAGCCCTAAAGCACTCAGGGCTGCCGTGCTGCATAGTGCTTTTCCAGAAAGAAATCATAAATATGCAACACATTTATTTACTCTTCCTTTGTGCTAATTCTTCACTGTTCAAAACAGGTTGCATATCCAGGTGGCGAAAAGGGAATCTAGCACCAGTGGGACCCCAGCACCCGAATTAATTTCTCCTGCCTTCGTGCCGTCATTTAATGAATGGCAATCTAAACACCGTGTCCCTGCTCTGCGCTTGCAGAGGTTTGATCAGCTCAGCACAGCGCTGGCAGAGGCTTGGGGAGGCTCAGGGTGCTGCATTCCCTGCGCAGCTGCCTCCTTAGATTCACACCAGGTCCCTTCCAGAGTCCCTGGGACCCACCCCGGGCCCGGGGCTGGCCCGGGGCCGGGGGCTCCGGGCTGGGCGGCGTGCCCGGCCTCCAGCTCCCGGGACCTGCGGCAGACACGGCCCCGCTGGAGGAAAAGCAGGCTCTGCGGGTGATTTCGGGTCTGCCTGTCCCGCGGCCAGCCCTGCCCGAAGCTCTGCCTGGGCCGCCGCCCGTCCGGCAGCCCCTGCCCGGCCAGCGGGGCGTTTGTCACATCTACCGGAGCAGGAGCGCCCTGCTGTCCCCCGACAGCCGAGCACACCTGCCCCAGCACACCTGGCAAAGGCGAGGCAGGAAGGGAAGGATCCCAGGCTCCGTCTGGAGGCACAGCCGACCCTGCCCTGCCCTGCAGGGAGGAGGAGGAGCAGGGTCCCCACGCGCAATCACACGGGCAGGTGACACGCACGGCACCTCCGGCTGCACCTCTGCCCGTGTGCAGGGGAAAGGGAGCAAACCCTGCCCCGGGAGGGCTCTGAGCAGCACCAGGGAGTCCCACCAGCGACAGGGAGCAGCAGACAGACAGAAAGGGAAAAGGAAAAGGGCCCAGGGGGTGATTTGTCATTGCTACAGAGCAGAAAGGCTCGGTCAGACCCGGATAACGAGAAGCACTAATGAGCAGGGAGGCAGAAAGGGGCACTTTGACCACAGGGGTTTTTCATTCTGAAAGACACAAGGAAAGGTCGACAGAGCAAATGACTCCCAGCTGACCCCAGTGGGCTTAGAAAGTTACACAGGAGCAGGAGATGCTCAGGAGCTGTTCACGCTCCGGGGAGGACACACGTGTTCCCAGCTGTGCCACAGGGAGCCCAGCACGGGCAGACCCGTGGGCTCCCAGCTCAGCTGGCAGAAGCTGCAGAGCCCCGTGCTGGGTTTGCAGCAGCCTCCAGCGAGCCGTGAGCCAGCGCACCGCAGAGCCAGGCACAGCTGTGCAGGGACGGGAGAGCAGCTGGAGAGCAGCCGCAGCTAAGAGCAAAGCAGCGTGCCCAGTGACAGCCCTGAGCAGAGACCGTGCCCAGGAGGGACAGCAGCTCCTCCCGCAGCGCCTTAACCTGGCGCACACATCAGCGCTCTCCTCTCCTCTCCGGGGCAGGATTTGTCCGCCCGCACCTCAGCACGGGTGGATTCGCACCTCGGGAGAGGACAGCCGCCTCCCGCATGCCAGGGAATGGTTTCAGGTCTGACGGGAGCGGAGCAGGAGCGGTGCGGGCGGTGTTTTCCATCAGTCCGAGTAAACTCATCAAAGGCAAACCCCTGCAGGTGCCAGCGCTCCGTCCCTGCCCCGAGCAGCTCCGGCAGCAGCCGGGAGCGGCTGCCGGGCCGCGGCCAGGGCAGACGGGCACGGCGAGCCCCGGTCCCACACCGCCCGCGGGAGAGCCTCGCGTCCCCGTCCCTGCCGGCCGCCGCCCTGACCTGCGAGTGCCCGTTCAGCAGCACCTCCTCCGCAAAACGCACTTTGACGGGGTTGGTCTTCAGCCTCGCCCTCTTCTCCTCGGTCAGGAACGACGACTTGGGGCCACCCTGCAAGGACAGCGGAGCTCGGTCGGGGCAGCGCCCCGGGGCGGGCGGGGGTGCGGCTCACCGCCGCGCCGGGGCCGCTCCTCCTGGCTGCTCGCACCCTCGAGGAGCGGAGCTCTGCGGAGCCCCTCCGCTCCCAGCCCTGCACGGCCCCGGGACTGCCCGGGCAGCGGCTGAAGCCGGCCCTGGCCGCCCGGCGAGCGGACACGCGTGTGCCGTGTGCCACGCCGCCAGTGTCACCGCACGGGAGCCAGCTGCTGTGCCCGGCTGTGTCCCCGCACCCGGGGCTGCCCTGGGGCTGCCCCTCACCGGGGCAGGCAGAGAGCCTGGCCAGAGAGCCCTGGACACAGCCCTGCCCGCGGGCAGCATCCCGCCCTGCTGGGCTGCCCAGAGCTGCCCCGGTCACCAGGGCGCTGCTGCCACCCGGCCTTGCTGCCACCCAGCACGCCATCAGGGCACCGCCTGCGTGCACAGCTCCGCACAAGCACTCTGTAAAGCGCGGTGGTCCCCGAGAGCAGCAGCAGAACCCCTCAGTGCTCTCCCAGAAGCTTCCAGGCAGAGCCAGGCCTTCGCTGCCACAAGTGCCGTGCCCCCACCCTGCCATGGGGACACAGACTGGGATCTGGGAGGACCCCCGGGCACCTCTGGACTTCCCGAGCCCTCCAGGGTGCACGGAGCAGAGTCTGTCCCCGCAGCCCATGCCACCGCCCCGGCCCCGCACCCGGGGCTGCGAGGAGCCGCTGCCCACCCAAGGGTGCGGGTGACAGCAGAGGATGCTCAGGGCACCCCGGCGCTCGGACCAGCCCCTCAGAGCCTCCAGCCAGCCCAGCCACCCCTGCCCCGTGCCCGCGGTGCCGAGGAAGGGCCACTTACTGCCGTGCAGCGCAGGACGGTCAGGAGCAGCTCGTCACCGGCGTCCCTGCGAAGGGACACGCGGTCAGCCCGGCTGCCACCCGCAGCCCTGCGCCCGGGACACGCGTGGGGACGCACCTGATGAGGCTGGCTGCCCGCTCCACCGACAGCCCGTCCACCGCGCTGGAGTTGATCATGAGCAGCTGGTCACCCGGCTGCAGCTTGCCGTCCGCCGTGCTGCCTGCGGAGCGGCGCGGCGTGAGCGCCCGGCCGCTCTCGGCGCGGGGCACGGCGCCGCCCGCGCCGGGAAAACCGGCCGGGAGAGCCCGCCGACACCGGGAGGGCCGCCCGGGGACCCGGCACTGCCGGGCCCGCGCTGGCCGGTGTCCCCAGGTGCCACACCTGCACCAGGCACGTCCAGAGACACTCGGCTGAGCTGCCCTTCCCCTGCAACCGCACCCGGCCGGCAAAACAAAAGGGGTGGAAGGACACTGGGTGCTGACACCATGGTGCTCCCTGCCTGTGTCCTTGCTCCCCACCCCAGCCTCCCTCTGCCCCATGGAAAGCTCTCCAGGGTCTGCCTGTGCCCTTGTCACAGCCCACCACAATGGGAACCAGCATGGGCCATGTAGCCTGGGCTCCCACCAGCAAAGGACAGGTTTTTTGTGCCTCAGCTTCAGTAAGATGTTGATTCTTTCTGATCAGGAGAAGGGAGAATCACAGCAGAAAGAAACCCACTTCTTACTCCCCACGGCTCTCAGGTAATTTCACCGTGTTTCACATGGGAAGGGGCATAAAGAGGAGTGGGGCTGACAGAGGGAACCTGCCCTGGCCAGAGCCCCAGCCAGCCCCCAGACACAGGGCTGTCCACTCACACCAACAGCTGAAAGCCACGCAGTTTTGTGCACCCATCAAAAGCATAAAATATGAATAAGAAACAGAATCACCGTTTTTGAGTTACACCCATCCCTTCCATAGCTAGAGGAGCTGATCTGCTGGACCTCAGCACTGCCTGCACCCAGCTCCTGTGTCGCCGGGCTGAAAGCCCAGGCTCTGTTCAGATCACCGTGACCACAGCAGAATAAGATTAAATTCTTCCTCTGCGTTTCAGATTAAACAGCAGGAAGAGCTTTGCTTTGAGCATCTCTCTGCATCATGAGGGTGGAGCAGTGAGTGAGCCCAGGTGGAGGGCCCGTGGGGATCTGACGCTGGTCCCGCTGGGCTGTGGGAGCTGGGGCTGTCCTGCACAGGCACCCAGGCTGTGCTCGGGGCTCAGGCACCCCAAAACCCCTGGTGAAGGCAGACAGCCCCTCCAGCAGCCCATGCCCAGCCGCACCTCGGAGCCCAGGAGCCGCACACACCTGCGGTGACCGAGGCGATGGTCAGCGGGAGGCCCGGGCAGATCTCGAAGCCGTAGTGCTGCAGCACGAGGTCCTTGTACACCGTGAGGGTCACCCTGGCACGGCTGGGGGGCTGCGCCGCACCCTCGCCGGCGCTGTCCATCGCTGCCATGCCGCCCCTGCGGACAGAGCGGCCGTCGGACGGGCACAGCCATGCACAGCGTGCCCAGAGGACCCACACCATTCCCTGCTCCCAGAGGACCCACACCGTTCCCTGCTCCCAGGGCTCCCCAAGGCCAGCACCGCCTCAGCTCTGCAGCCGCAGCGATGCCCTGGGCTCTGCAGGGAGCTGCGGACATCAGGCTGGCGTGGCCACAGCTCCCCAGTCAGCCCAGCCCGCTGGCCACACACAAGGAGAGGCCCAGGGTGCCCCGGCGCCAGCCAGGACCTCCACCCAAGGGAGCAGCAGCCCCTTCACCCAGTGAGGCTCTCAGCTCCTGCTGGGATCCGCACCAGCCCTTGAATGTCCACCCTGTGTCCACTCTACGTCCACTCTCAGACCTCAGGGAAGGAAAGCAGCCACAGGATCCCTGGTAACTCAACCTAGCCTTGCCCAAAAATGTGGGCCCACAAAGAGGAGCCTGGTCCCACCTTCAGGAAGAGCAAGTGTCACATGGAGCAGTCCTGCATTTCTTCTTCACAAAAGAAATGTGCTTCCCCACAGCACAGCAAGGCAGGAGCATCTGTGCCTGGGAGCCAAGGGGGTGCTTACAAATGCTGCTGCTGTTCTTTTTCTGTGTGGTATTTCCCAAGAAGGGCAGGAGCACCGGGCAGGCCCTGCAGGCTGCCAGCCCCACTCTCTGGGGACAGCCCGCCGCTGTCTCTGACCAGAGTGACCTAGGTGTTCCCTCCACAGAAACCCCACTCACCTGGCCGCGCTGTCCCGAGAGCGATGAAGCCATTTTGCTACCATTTGCTCTATTCTACATGTTTTTCGTGTATGGATTAAGCTAGTCTCCAAATCTCCCATTTACCTGGAAGCGACAGAAATCACAGGAAAACAGAATGACGGTGCCTGAGGAATTCTTCTGGACAGCTCTGGGAGTTACCAGCACTAACTCACAACCCATTAGTAACACGAAGAGATCAGCTGGCACCTGGTGAAGGGCAGAACTGTGACAGAGGGTGACACCAGCTGTGACACTCACAGAACCCCCCTGCCCACCCAGCCTCCCCTGCTTGGTTCTTTTGGTCAGCTGTGTCTCGGTGACGCTGCGTTACCCTTCCGTGGCAGACAGTGAGGGCTGCACTCCTTTTCCATGGGTTTCATGGCTCCATGGGCTTCTCTCGGAGGTGCAGAGGCTGGCTGAGCTTCCCACCCCCAAACTGAGCCTCACAGAGCACGATCCTCAGTCAAACAGGGAATTGGTTTGACCCTGCAGCTGCAGACACCAGTGGCAGCTGCACACCCCAGCAGGTGCCTTGCAGGGCACCCTGCAGCCATGCACCACTGCAGCCATGCACCACTGCCAACCCTCTGAGCTCTAACCCTGGGAAGGACTGTGGGAGACAGAACCTGACACAAAACTAAACAAGTTATGCCTGTATCTGCCAGAAGTCACGAAGAGCGTCAGGTCTTTGTGTTTCAGACCCAAAACTGTTGTATCCACCTTTCACTGGGTGCCTTCTGACCAGCCCAGGAGTCCCGCGCGTCCTGACCTCCTCCCTCGTGTCTTCTGCTGGGCCTGGGGGTTCTGTGCCTCAGGGACACGCTCTGTCATGCTGGGGCAGCAGGCTGCTGGTCCGTGGCAGAAGTGGCTGCAGCAGAAACAGCAGCAGGTCAGCCTGTGAACAGCAGAGGTGGCTGGAAACTCAGATGAGCCACGAAACGTTTTGTCTCAGCAAAAATCAGCCCTGTTCCACTCAGCTCCTTCCCAGGCCTCGGTACTCCCCCAGCTCACACTTGCCAACCAAGAAGGGAGGGCAGGACCCACTTTGCTGGTGAGCTCCTCACAGGGAGCCGCTCCAGCCTGATGTGCTGCCTGCCTGCTCAGCTGTGGGCAGGAAATGGAGGAAATTCAGCCCTTCGGCAGTTCTGGGCCCTCTCTGGGTGCTTTCCTCCTGATTCAACACCATTCAGCCTGCTCCTGCAGCCACACAGCTCCCACATCGCTCCTGAGAGGCACCTCTGAACCACAAATTCCAGGAGTCAGAGCTGAGGAACAGGAAATCTGACCCCTTCTAGAGAAATGGGCACCTTGTGACCCAGCTGTGCCTCCAGAAGCCACAGGTGAGGGTGGCAAGTCTGACCCCAGCCCAGAGGACGAGCAGGAGGTGGCCACGGGAGGAGCAGAGCACACACAGGATCCCTCAGAGCAGCCTGAGCTGGTGCAGCTCCTGCTGGCCCCTCTCAGCCCCGTGTGCCACTGCCTGTGGCACTCGTGTGGCAGCGGCCACAGCCGTGCTCTGCCTTTGGCTTCACCTCTCTGCTCAGCAGCACAACACTATCCCTCCCTGTCCCCACGAGCGCCCAGGGCTCCCTCTGAGCACGGGGAACGTGCTGCCCACGCGGGCTCCTGCCCCTGGCTCCGTGCTGGGGTGCCTGGAGCTGCTGCTGCGCCGTGACCCTCCCCAGGTGCTTCCCCACCACCTCCCTCTGCAGCTCCAGCCCTCAGCCCTTCCCCTCCACCCTGCAGAAAGGACAGGCTTTATATCTGGCCTTCCAAGAGGGAATGCCCAGAGAAAGCCTCTACAGGACAAGCAGAAAAAGTCTGAAGAACGAACACAAACAGTTAAAACCCCCAGGTGGAATACGGGGATGGAATACAGAAAATAAGGAAAGAGAAGATGTTGTCCTTTCAGGAAACCTGAGCATTTGGGACAAACAGCAGGTGTCCTGGAGGAGGCAGCTTGGCAGGTACTTCCCTAAAAAGTGCACAGCAGCAGGAGCAGCCTCTGTCCCCACGGCATCCTCAGGGCACATGCTGAGAGGGGCAGGGTCACCCCAGGGCCACCCAGGGTCACCCAACTGGTCACCCAGGGTCACCCCGGGCCACCCAGAGCCACCCAGGGCCACCCAGGATCACCCAGGGCCACCCAAGATCACCCAGGGCCACCCAGCTGGCCACCCAAGGTCACCCCGGGTCACCAGCTGGTCACCCAGGGTCACCCAGGGTTACCCGGCTGGTCACCCAGGGTCACCCCGGGCCACCCAGAGCCACCCAGGGCCACCCAGGATCACCCAGGGCCACCCA